TTTTTGAAGTATCCATCAATGTTGCTTTCTGAGGCACCAGTGATCTTCTAGGATAGTCAAATTCTAGCCAAAGACCAGTTTTGCTGTAATACTCCAGTTCTGACATCTCAATGCACTGCAAATTACTATTGTTTTATTCCTTCAGTTCCTTTACTAATTCTATTAATCCATCATTTCATATGTTTTCAATTTGATGCATTAAACAAATGGCAGAGGAAGCCTTTGGAAATGCTCCTCCTCGCGTCTGAAATGGCCTTCTCTGTCCATCCAGTTCCGTGTCACACAGGAGAAGCATGTGGGGCTCCCTAGGAGCAAACACACAAGTACCTGGGCCTGCACTGAAAAGCTAACTCCTTCTTGCCATTACCCGCTCAATGCAGAAGCTTCCTTGTGTTACATGAAGGATGGTTTGGGATTCAATAACATTTTTGTTAGGGGAACATGAGAATTCTGAGAGCACTTCATGCTGGGGAGGTGAAGATAATAATAATWAAAAAATGGCAGTTTAGTTGCTATTTGTGCTTGTGAGGAAGGTGCCCCTAGCACACACACCTTCTAGTAGACGCTGGAAACGACCCTGAGTTTCCAGTGTCAAATTTAAACCTGACAAAGTTTTGGGAATTCATCTCAGATTTTTTTCTCAAATGTGGAGTTGTAACATTTGAAATTTTACTTGGTAGTGCTGTGGTTAAGCCTTCAGTATGGATATACGGTCCTCAAATCTGGATTTAATTCAGTAATCCACTTCCACTAATTTTTCTCATGTGACTTCACATTTTATGGTTGAAATGTTATACTTGTAGTTCAGTGCAGGTGAGAAGTGCAATAAGTAGATTACATACCTACTTGTCTTTTGCCTTTGCCTAAAGACTGTAATGTACATCCCCAAGAGGRTGTAAACATAGAATCATGGAATCCTTAAGGTTGGAAGGGACATTTAGAGATCATCTAGTCCAACTCCCCTGCACACGCAGGGTCACCCAGAGCACGTGGCACAGGGCGGCATCCAAGTGAGTTTTGAAGATCTCCAAAGAAGGAGACTCCACAACCTCTCTGGGCAGCCTGTTCCAGTGGTCTGTCACCCTCACTGTTAAGAAATGTTTCCTTAAGTTCCTGCAGAACTTTTGGTGCTTCAGTTTGTGGCCGTTTCCTCTAGTCCTATCACTGTCCACCACTGAAAAGAGGCCGGCCCCCTCCCCCTGACTCCCTCCCTTGAGGTGTTTGTAGACACTGATCAGGTTCCTGCTCAGCCTTCTCTCCTCCAGGCTGAACAGGCCCAGCTCCTTCAGCCTTTGCTCATAGGGCAGATGTTCCAGGCCCCTGATCATCCTCGTAGCCCTGCGCTGGACTCTCACCAGCAGCTCCACATCCCTCTTGTACTGGGGAATCCTAAACTGGACACATTGCTCCAGATGTGGCCTCACCAGGGCTGTGTATAGGGGGGACGATCACCTCTCTCGACCTCCTGGAGACGCTCTTTTTTCAGTGAGGGCAAAACTTTGCCTGCCAAGCCCAAAGTCTTGTAGACGTCCCTTTAAAATCAGCTTTAAAAATGCCCTGTAACAGTTGAAGAAGAGAGGGTTGGTACACAGAAACGATGGCCAGTTGCCTAGAATATCAGTTCCTCTTCAATAACTTTTGTATGCCAACTATGAACTTATAAACAGTTATTTTCTTTATTCATTGTCTGCTTATTGGTGTCATGCCCTCGTGATGACTCCTGCTGAAAGGGGTGACATAAGGTAGCTCAGAATAAAGTTTCTGTGTGCAAACAGGGCTCATCTGTGTACCCATGCACACATTTTTTAATTGCTCCTTTGAAACTGCCCATTCAGGAACAGTAACGAAGCATCTAGGCTGTATAAAACCAACAAAGAAGTGTTCAGAGTTTTTTTCATGAAGCAGGTTTTTTTGGGGGGTGGGGAGTCAGTTCTGATTCCTTTTTTTTTTTCTTTCTCTCCTTAAACTGAATTTAGCTCCTGTGATCAGAGCCAAATTGACAGCTTTGAAACTAATGTAATCTGCTTGCTCCCAAGAGAGGTACAGCAGGGACAGCCACAGGACAGACTTCCTCACCCGCCTTCTTGAGGATGTGAAAGGCTAGTTCATCCCCTCGGTCCAGTGAGCATAGCTGCATGTCATGGCTTCTGGATATGAACATCCGCTCTTTGGGAGATGAACTGAGAGAAGGGAGTCATTTCCTACAAATCAGCAAAACGCCAACCTAGAAGTGACATTCAGGGAAGTGTTCCTGAAGGATATCTGCAGCCCGGTGGAAGATGGAGTCTTGGGGACATCATGAAGAGGTCTCCAAAAGGAGGAGCAGCAGTCAAAGAAGCCAATAAAATACTGGGTGCTCTTAGGAAGGGTGCTGAGAAAAAAGCAATTTGCCAGTGATGCACCCACAGCATGAGTGTTGTGTGCAGTTCTCACATCTCCAGAAGGACTTAGTGGGGTTACAGAACTCCTGGAACGATACAAATGGTGGAGGTGATGGAAGAGATTAAAGGGCAAGGGCTTTTCAATTTCAAGATGGCAAGGACAAAAGAAGATGCACTTGGGGTTTAGAAAATCATGAAAACAGTAGATAAGACGAATACAGAACTGTTATTCACCAAATCCTGCAACACTAAAACCAGGGGGAACTCGTTGAAACTAGCAGAAGATTTAAAACAGATACAGGGCTTACACAATGGAGACTGAACTTCTGGGATTTGTTGCCACAGGAGGCTGTGGAGGCAGACAGTATCAGCAGACTCAAAAAGGTCCATTAAAAACTACCAAAGGGAATAGGCAGGAACATATCCTTTGACATCGTTAATATGACAGTTGCAAATGCTGGGGAGTTTGAAGGGAATGGCCTGTGGAAAGCGGCCAGGTACACATTTTCTCTCTAAAAAGCATCTGCCATTGCTGTTGTTGGAGTGAGAATTTGGAGCTGTAGGGGCCAACAGGCAGGTCCCACATGGCCTTGGTCATGTCCCTTTGTGGTGGTCACAATCCCATCCCACAGAAACCTGAGTGCTCTGTGGAAGGAGAGAGAAGCCTCCTGAAGGTGATTCAGAGCAGGACCCAAGTGTTCCTGCCCTGAATCACCCCTTGGAAAAGCCTATCTCTCGCCATCAGTTGCAAAGGAAATCTTCCCCAGACGAAGGTTAGCCTTGTGAATAACCATGTTAGTCACAACTGGCACAGGTTGGGGTTGAATGGCTGATCTAAAACTGAAAAAAAAAAAAAAAAAGGGTCATGTACCAAAACTCATATCCCTCCGCCACCTCACCCACATACCAGTCATTTTGGTGAGTTTTTACAACGGAAAGCCTTTCTATCGGAGCTCAGGATTATTGGAATGACCACCCGTTAATTTTCATCACATTCAATGGAAACATTTCCTCAGACAGCAATATTGAAGAAGTACGTCAAGCTCTGGTTAAGATGAAAAGTTAAGAAAACTTCTGTTGTATATGTTAGACCGCTTGCTCATGGTCTCAGAGCTGAATCACTGGGAAAGACTGTCTAGCTGCAAAGCAGTCCAGAGTTATCCAGGTATGGCAGAGTGTCCTAATGCTTATGGGAAGACTGCTGCATGTCACAGGCTGGAAATAGAAACGAGCTATGAGGCTGGTATTGCAGAATGACGGAATGGCTCTTAGAAGGGAGACAGTTGGAAGCTGACTCTTTAACATGAAGCTATGCCAGTAGATCCTCTGACCATTGCAGCTTCTGGGAATGAAGTAACTGTGTAGGTGAGTGTTTGGTGTTTTGCTGCCTGATCTACACATACAGTGAGGTATTTAGATGTGTAGATTTAGGTGGTTGTGAACATAAGTTATACTACAGTTACAAATGTTGCAGGAAGATTTTAGGCATCTGCTGAAAATCTGATCCTTCCAGGGGGAAAAACAACCCTCTTCAGAAGCATATTCTGAGAATCATGAATGGGTTAAAATACACTAAGAACCACAAAGAATACAAATTAGTCTTTTAAATGTGAGCTGACCATAATGTTAAATATAAAGGGTAAAAAGATTGATCACTGCTAGCATGAATGCTTGGTACTTAGATAGTGCTTGACAGGTAAAAACCTGATCAGAAATGACACGATTAATCTTTGCTGCGTCCTTGTGAGTTAGCTATGGGTCTTTCTCATTCAGTTTGGAAGACCTGAATGAGAGTTTGCACACAGGGCTTGATCAACTGTCTAGGGCTACCCAAGGAGCCGGTGTGAGAATGGAAATGGGAACCTGTCATGGTTCCCAAGCTTTTCATCACTACTTGAGAGAACACGCTGCTTTCTGCTCATGAACAGGAAAACTGTTCCGAGCTGCACAAAACCTCCAACACAAAATCCTTAGGATACAGTTAGCTGGTCTGTGACTGAACATTTCAATATCTGTAGTACTCCTCAGCTCATCTTCTGGCTGAGTATCCAGATATTACCATTGGGACCATTATTCACTGATTCAGCTCAGAAAATTCTTTTTCTTTCCCTTACAAGATGCCTTTGTGAAAATAAGAAGCATAATGTTATTAGTGTTTGGACAAGTAAATGGTTAGCTTGTGCACTCCATCTTTTGTTTGATTCATGTTCAGAAAAGACATCTCCTGAATAGCACCAGTTTACATAACTTTTTAGTAATGTAACATCAAACCTCTGTAGCTTCCATTTGGAAATGTTTTCTTAGCAGTGCTTGCAGAAGAGAGGAGGGGTTGGAAATAGTGTCATATGCCCTCTTTATTATCAGTGCAAATGCTGTCCACCTCAYGTGAAAAAAGTTAACCTGATAGAAAGAGTCCAAAGTATCTGACCTTCTCTCAGGGCAC